TGGGGGGGGGGGGGGGGGGCTGCACAACCCGAGGAATGCCTGCCGTTGCCGCTCGTATCCATCTATTCTACGAGATATGATTTTGTGTGCTCTCCCATGTGCTGCAGTGATAGTAGTACCGTCACGCAAGGCGGTCAAAACCGGGATCTACGATTGTTTTTTTTTTTCCCCCGTGCTTCATCTTACATTGGCGCGGTAACCTCCCCCCGCCCTTCGTATCCAAACAAAAAAAGTCGATGGTTCAGACGATATCCGAGAGTGTCGAGGGCCGGCCTGCCGACCTGGACCTTAAGGGCGCCGCGGCTGGCGGAGTTGGCGGCGGCGATGCTGGAGGCGGGGGGCGTGACGATGCGCGCGTGGCGGAGCTGACGAAGCTCTTGTGCACGGTCCACGATATGTCTTCGCAGGTGCGAGGAGACGAGACCCCTTGTCACGGCGGTAACTTCCCCCCCGAAAGACGTCGGGAATATTCGTACGTACATACAAGTGATTCCCCGGAGTGGGCTTATGAAAGAACAGCGTCATCAAGGGGCGATGCAAGATGGATTGAAGGCAGGCCGCAGGACCAACCCACAGCTGTCCTGTGACGGTTCCCAAGCCCAATAGCCCATGCAAGCTGACGTGTTTTTGACTCGAACGGCCCGGTGAACCTCAACGACCCACCATGAGAAATTTTACAAATCTGTACCACACAGCAGTCGTACAGCAGTATCACGGCCTGCAAGGCTGTTGACTAGGACACGCCCCGGTACACAAACGCTATGTTCCTGATTTGTTTTTTATAACCCTGTCGTACTCGCTCGTTGGCGCCTGCTTACCTCCCTTCCATCGTACTCTGCGGCAAAACACTGCCCACGCATACCATCTGCCCACGTCTCCTCTCCCGTCCTCACACACCTTTGCGCGCAACTACACTTGACGCCGCCAAATCCCCCCCCCGCCCCTGCCGCTCTTGCTGTTGTTCGCGCTGCATGATCGCTCGGCCCGACCCCGCATCCACCCCCGCCCGCTGCGCGGTACATTTTTTGTTGCGATCGGGTGTTGGGTAATCTAATCGACGTGGTGCTTTGGTGGGGATTGCTTGCCCCCCAGGCGGCGGAACTCCTTCGAGCCGAGAGGAAGCAGAATCAGGACCAGGTGAAGCGCTTGACGGAAAGGGTCCAGGAGCTGGAGACGAGGAGCAGGGGCTCCGCGGCATCGCCTAAGCCCATGGAGGGCTAGTGGAGGAGGGGGGGGGGGTCAGAAGAGGGAAGTTGCCAGCCGGGGCGCCTCGTCACACACCATGAATCACGTCCATCCATTCATCTTGTTTACTTGTGTTAATGTGTGTGCATTTTTTTATTTTTTTGGTGTTGTAGTGTAAAACGTATTGTTTTGAGAGCGTTCGGTCCCCCAGGCTTGCTTGTGTTGTGCCGCCGTCGCAATCGGTGTGTAATGCTTTGCTCTGATCGAGGGCTCTCCGACAGAACGAGGGATTGACCTGGGTAGCACGCAGTAAGGGGAGAGGTGGACAAAGTTGCGGTTGACGCAGAAGCCGAAGCAAGTAGCATTAGCAGCAGCGGGGTCATTGTCGCTGTTATCATCGCTGTGGTGGTTACGTGAAGGCATGTCTCGATCGCACCCCCCCCCCCGCTACCTCACCGTTGTCTTGCGATGATTCCACGTCGCGTCCACCGTCTCGGTCGGCGAGATCGTGAGATCGATGCCGGTGGACAGCTAGAAATCAATGTTTTTCCACTTTCGATCCCGCATAACCCCTTGCAATGAGGTAAAGTAACTTGAGAGAGATCTATCTACTAAGTAACGTATACACCACCCATATTTAGGTACCGCTCTCAAGATTTAAACGCGCTGTCACGCAGACGGTACTACTGCCGTGGCCATAAAGCGTATTGCAAGCAGGAATAGTTGTTATTCGTTTGCTCTACAAGAGGTATTTTTATTTTTACGTGGGGCAGGCGGGGAGGCGCGACAAATTCAGCGGAAATACTTTTTGCGGTCTTGGCCAGATTTATTTTTTGTCGCGGTGTAGCGAGGCGGGAAAAGGACCACGGTGTCTCGGTTTTCCCACCAAGCAGGCACGGGAGGGGACGGGGGAGCGGGGTTCAATATCGAGGGCTGGAGAAAGAGGTTTCAGCGTTGCCTCGTTTTTCCCCCCATGTATCGGGCCTACAGTGTTGATTTCCATGTACTCTCTTCTCATGTGCTAGGTAGCTAGGTTTGGGTTCCTTCCGTTCTGGCGCGCGTGTTTCATTTTTGTAGTATTTGTGCGCGTTTCGTTGTGTAGTTTTCGAATCGATGTTACGGAATCGATGTGTTTGTGTGCTCTGCTGGGTGTTCCATCCGCCTCTGCATTCAAGCTGTGGGAACCGGCGGTCAGACCTTTGCACTTAGACCTGTCCGTTATCTCCTTCCACGATGTTCTCTTGACGAGTAGTCCAGCATACGGCGGGAAGGGGAGCCAAGGCGGAGCGCCCCGCCCCCCCCCCCCTCCCTTCCAATCGCGAAACCCCGAATGGACAACTGCTGTCGCTATTATTCCTGTTGGTTGAGTAACGCCTTCGTGTTGACCACTCGCCCGTCTGTCGTGTGGCACGTCTGTTGATCAGCGGTGTTGTATACGACAGGGGGGGCGGGGCAATTTCGGCCGTAATAGACTTACTTCTTGTTTTTTTTGTGTTTTTTTTTCAGGTTTCGCGTCCTGATCTCTACTTTTGTACATTTAGCGCGCTCCCCCAAAACGAACGGCGTCGTGCGCCCCATGCGCGGGGCTTTTGTGTCTTCATCGTGCGTAAATTAGATGTGTACCACCGCAGGGTATACAGCGGTTGCATCGGTTGCATGATAGAGATCGCGGTATCGTATGTATCCGTTCGCTGCTCATCTTGCCGGCCAACTATTCAGCGGGCGGGGTTATGGACACCGGACCGGTGTGTGAGGGATGATGTGCTGGTAGATGATAATGTTTCCTGCGTTTTTTTACCTCATCATCGTCGTCGTCGTCATGCTCCAGCTGCTTGTTGTACGTTCCCTTCCATGTCTACACAGACACCCAACATCAGGCAACCGTTCGCCTCTCAGGACCGTGAGCTCACGCAAACGGTGCCGGCAAAAGTCCAGCATCCGTTTCCGTGAAAGACACCGCGCGGTTCTTGTCTTGTCGTAGAAGACTGCATTGATTGATTGTAGCACTGCTGTAGCACTGTAGCAGCCTGGTCGTATTTACCTGTTGTTTGCCTTCTTTTCAAGCGTCGGAAATTTGAGACTCATGTCGTCACCGTCTCCTTGCTTCGTCCGCCTCCCTTGTCTTTTTTAGGTACACAGCGTACCCCCCTTTTATTTGATGTCTTGCGTTTGGACTACTACTGCTGTAGAGGCGTGGAAGCTGCAAGTGTCTTGGCTTCCTGGGTGGAAGAACTATGACGCTATGGAGTGAAGTCGCGAGGGAAAGAAGGAGTTTCTTCGTCTTTGGACTATTGGCTGTTTTCGAAAGTTTTAGTCGTGCCTACTAATCCATGAAAAAGGGGCAGGGGGGGGAGTCTTGTGCTCTTCGCGTTGTTGAGATGGTAGAAGCCGCTGGGAACCTAGAACAAACCAGGAAGAGGCATTCGCAGTGTCATATAAAGACTGAAGAGAACAGCCCAGTAGTGTTACCACAGGTATACTACTGTAGTTCCACCGTTTTTGGCGGGCAGCCTATGGAGCAAAGGAGATGCTCTCCAACGCGAAACAGAGCGCGGATGAGCAAGCGGCCATACTCTTCGGTCGGCCGCGGAAGGAAACATGCATCGCTGTGAGATGGACCAATTGGCTTCTTCTGCGCAGCCGAGTAGTGTGTGCGCGCGAGCGCACGACGATGTGTGCGAGCGGGCCGGCCGCAACCAACCGTAAGCCCCCGTGAAGGTGGAACCGACACAAGTCCAAGCACGACCGACTTAGCGTCATCATCGAACGCTCGGAGAGGCCAGCGATCGAATTAGATTGGTGTGGCACATCTAAATGTCAATCAAGCACATTTGTTCGCGCTCTTTTAGGCCGTCGGCAACCGTAAGCTCTCGTGACCGTGGCACGGGCTAAGTCCAAGCACGACCGACTTTGAATCGTCGTCGATTGCTCCGAGAGGCCACAAATCGAAATTGGCGTGGCATGTCGTGACTCACTAAAAGACACATATTCTTCGAGCTCTTCTTGGCGACTACACTGTCGTTAACAAAAAAAGAAAACAAAAAGGGGGAGGAACTGGTGGCTCGCCTCCGGTACGTACCAGATTTGTCATTGCCCGGGAACTTGGGGTCCTTGAAATCAACAAAAGAAACTAAATATTCTAACAGAACCGCCAGATCAAAAAAGTTGACCGATGAGGCAAATACATACCACGTACGTAAGATCCCAGTCAGAACACGACAACCACAGAACACGCGACCAATATGTAACCGTACGGTGTGTCTATCTACCCGCCCGCCCTCGTCGAGGGTACATGGAATCTATTTAAGCGTGTTGCTTCGTACCGTACGGACATACGGCACACAAACACGAGCATCGACTTCGAGAAAGGGAGAGGGTCTCGAGACCCGTGGATTGTTTGAAGGATAGAGTAACGCGGAAGGCCACCACAATTGTAACGGGTTGAAAAACGACACCACCGCCATGACCATGTACTACGTTTACAGAGGTCGGGCAGTGGGAAGAGACAGAGACACAACTTTAAAATTTCCCTCCCATCACCAGAGGATAACCGAATCTACATGGTACATGTTTTGCCGCTGCCGCCGTCTTGCATCCCCGAGCTCAACAGGCGCGGCACTACCGAAAAATGACAGGCGGTCAACATTACAACTCTGAGGGACGACTCGAGGGATTTTTCGTCCAAAAAAACAAAAAAAAAATCACCCCCCGCACTACTGACGAGACCGACACGGCAATAGCGCCCCGTCTACGACAACACCACCAGCACCAGCGCAACATGAAAACAGCGCCGAATGCTAGCTGTGGTGATTCTTGTAAGCTACACATGTAAGCACATACTTCACAAACACGTAACAACGCTGTGTGTGGCGAACAGCCAGCCCAGGATATCTCACTACAGCGTCGGAGGTAGACAATTAAAAAACTCGAGAGGAAGAGAACCGACGGGCCACCAGCTGCAGCCCCATCTACTCAGCAGAGAGTCCTCCCCACCGCCTTTACAGGTGAGCTGCTTGTGACCCCCCTACCGGGAACCTGGCGAGGGGCTTGGCGTTTCATACCACGTCAAAACGCGATTTGACTCCGCTAACCCCCACCTGCCAAAACATCACCAAGACGCGCGGCCGCCTCCGCGAATTCCCACTCACCGGGATGTCTCACACACAGACGTGTGTGCGGTGATGAAAGAAGTCTCTATTAATATTCCATTCCACCCACTCGAGGAAAAGAGGAAACCTCATGATGATGCCATGGTGTCCGCGACCTGCCGCCCTTTATCTCGCGGGCTCCCCCTGCCTCATGATGGCGTCGTCACGGCGTCCGCGTCCCGCCCGCGGGTGCCGCCCTTCATCTCGCGGGATCCCCTTCTCCTGGATGATGACTCGACTCCTCGCGGCGACTGCGGCGCTGCTGCTGTCGCCTCAACCGCTGCCGGGAGCGGGATCCGTCGCCGCCGCCTGCCGCCGCCGGCCGCCGTCCATGTGCCTCACTCTTCGTCTTCGGCAGCGGTGACGACAACCGCCGACCGCCTGCTCCACCACCGCCGCCACCGCCATTCTTTGGTTCGTCGGCAGCATCGCCGGTACCCCCCCCGTAGTTGTCCTCTTGCCCCGTTTCCGCCCCCCTTAGCATCGCCTTAGGGTGATTCCCATCTTCCCCCTCGTCTCCGTCCTGCGAGGCGCGAACGCCTTCGACGGCGTTGTTCTCGCCGCCGCCGCCGCCGCCGCCGCCGCCGTCTTCTCCTTCCCCCTCCTCCGGCTCGGGTAGGGTCACCGGGTGTTGGATGGTGACCCCGTTGGTCTCGACCAGCACCTCCTGGAGCTCGATCACGGCGTTGGTCAGGTTGCCCACCTGGTAGTGCAGGGCCTCGTTCTTTTCCCTGCGAGTTTTCGAAGTACATATATTCTTTGTGGTTACGCGTGATTCTCAACGGAGGCGGCGACCGGTCGACCGGTCGGCAGAAGTTGTATGATGGGATTCTTTTTTGGTTCCGCGATAAGGTGTGGTGGGGACCACGGCCGACTTTGGGCACAGAGGGGATTCAGATATTATGTACACATTCAATCAAAGAAAGACTTCCCATTCGAGACAGTACCAAAGTCGAAGGTCATGCGTCGAAGATGGTTTGTATCGTTCCTAAACGACGCAAAAACCCTAGCGGAGGGAACGACTACTGTGGATAGGCGTGGCTGCCTGACGGTTGGGCACAGGGTGCACATCTTTCCTAGACAAGGCAAACCTCAGCGGAGAGCGGGTAGAACGGCTATCGATAGGCGTGGCTGCTTGAAGAACATTCATCGTAAGTCCCCCCGAGGCATGCAGCGGCGCTGGCTGCTGCTGTGCTCGTGAAGCGGGCCGTCCCCGATCGGCTGCGCATATCTAGAAGATACCTAGAGAATGGCGCGATTGGCCCTGCGCCAAAATTTCTACAGCAGCCAAAAGGCACGCCTGCTTCCAATACAAATCTTGATACCTGTCGCGTAGTATTTCAAACCGTTTGGCCTTCCGTGTGTACACCCGAAGAAGGGGATCTACGTTGTCGAAAAGCAAAAGAGATACACAAAGAGTGGCCGGCCACATCCGTCCAACGCAGTGGTTGTGAGCTACTGCTGCACCCTCACCCACGGCCTTTTCTGTGTTTCCTCTGTAATTTTCTTCTTGTAGTATTATTCCTGCCAGAGAGGCAAGGTCGTGGCACATCGGGACACACCAAAAGCCCCAAGAACACGACGGGACTAACAAAAACGCGCAGACGAGGACAGTGCATAAGCCACCAGGGATGCACCCCGCCGCGCTCATCTTTTTCGTCGGCCCGGTCACTTACTTCATCGTCTTCTTGTTCTCTTTTGCTTCCTTGATTATCTCAGCCCTGGTCTTAGGGATGATGGTCTCGATGTCGCCCGCGATGCCCCTATTGGACATGCCCGTCTTCGTCTCATTCTTTTCATCAACAAGCGTTACGCATGGGGCAGGGGGGGGGGGGGGGGGGGGGGGGCCCCTTTGGGGGGTGGGGGGAAAAAAACGGGAAAAAGGGGGGGGGGGGGGGGAAGGGGGGAATTTTTCCCCCGGGGGAACCCCCAAAGGAAATTGGGGTTGTGTTTGTTTTGGTTGTTTTTGCCCCCCCAAAAAAAAACGTTCCAAATCCCCCCTCCCCAAAACCTTTTTAGGTCCCTAAGGGACCAAAACCCAAGCCGGGGAATTCCCGGGGGCCCGGGGTAATTTTCCCCAAAAAGGGCCCCCCAAAAAAACGGGCCCCAAGGGGGCCCCAAGTAAAAAAAAAAAAAAAAAAAAAATTTGGGGGCCCCCCCCCCCCCCTTCCCCCTTAAAAATATCTTAGGGGGAAAAAAAACCACAGGGGGGGGGGGGGGTCCCACCAAAAAAGGGGACGGGGCCCGGGG